TTCAAACTGTTGGTGAAACTTTTTTAATCTCATGATTTACTCTGGAACAATTGTGTTGACATAGGTACTGATGGTGCAAAAGCAAAGGTGGCAGAAGTGCTGGCACCTTAACCCAAATCAAGGAGTGGCACCAAACTGTACTACTTGGGCTTCTATTCACTATCATATACTTGTATTAACAGTGCCAGTTCCAGTTAAGAATGTTCTGTCTTCAATAGTAAAAATGATTTATGTTAGTAAATCTTGACCATTGAAATTGAATATTTTACAGTATATGATGAAATTCAACATACAAACATCACACATCTGTGTATCAAAGTGAATGGGAAAAAGTTAGATCAGATACTGATAAAGAGGAAGTGGACGACATGGATAATAGATGTGAAAAATTAGCTAAAATGTAGCACAGAAAAGAAACGGTCAGAAATTATGAATGAGAAGTTTATGGACCTAGAGTCTGCTGGTGGCTTGATTTTGGACTTTGCAGCCTCCAGAACTGTGAGAAATAAGCCTCTGTTGTTTAAGCCACCCAGTCTGTGGTAGTTTTTTATAGTCCCTTGAGCTAAGACATATTTTGGTACCAAGAAGTAGCAAACATCTAAATATGTGAAAGTGGCCTTGGAATTGGATAGTAGGTAAAGGCTGAAAGAGATTTGAAGTACATGCTAAAAAAAAGCTGAGATCACCATAAATGCCTTTCAGCCCTTACCTATTAAAAGTGATTCTGGCGATGGCTCAGAAAGAAAAGAGGCACACTGGAGAGAAAATCTCCATCTTTGTAGAGAATACAGAAATAATCATGAACAGATAGAAATATGGACGTTAAAGGCTATTCTGGTGAGGTCTCAAACAGAAATGAGGAACACGTTATTAGAAATTGGAGGAGAGGCAATTCTTATTATAAAGTGGCAAAGAACTCGACTGAACTCTGTTTTAGTGTTTTTTGGAAGGTAGACCTTGTGAGTGATTAAACTGAATATTCATCTGAGGAGATCTCTGAACAAAGTTTGGAAGAAGTAGCTTGGTTCCTCATCACCGCTCACAGTAAAACACATCAGGAGAGAGAGAAATTGAAGACCAAATTGTTAAGCAAAATGAAATCAGAACTTAGAGATTTAGAAACTTTTCAGCCTATCCATATTTGAAAGTGAGAAAACTTGTTCTGAAGAAAACTCGAAGGGTGTAGCAGGTGTGCTATTAATTTAATTAGTCATCTCAGCAGAGGCCAGGAATAGAGAAGGATTAAACCAGCAGGGACACTGCCAGTTTGAACTAGCAGGGGACAGAGAAAGCCAGGCAGAATGAGGGAAGGCTGTCAGAATTCTTGGATTCTACAGAATGGGAGACTAGAGCAATTCGGCTGTGAATGTGTACTCCTCTTGAAGAAAAGGGAAGAAAGACCCCAAAGGTGATTCCGAGGTCATCGGGTCTGTCAATCCCACCACAGGCCCAGGGGGCCTCAGTTTAAAAATGTGATATTGTCGCCCTCACAGAGAGTCATGGTGTAGGTGGAGGCCCTACAGAGAGCTGCAGTGTGGGTGGCACCCTACAAAGCGGAAGGAGTGGGGCTGCCCCACTGAGCTGTGGGGATGATGTTTCCACCCCAGCGGGACTGGGGGGCAAAGCATCAAACCAAAGAGGATTACTCTTATACCTTAAGATCTAATGGGATTGGCCTTGCTAGGCTTTGGACTTGCTTAGAAACTGTCACCTCTTCCTTCTTTCCTATTTCTTCCTTTTCGAGTAGGGATGTCTATTATATGCCAGTCCCACCATCGTATTTGGAAACACTTAACTTGTCTTGGTTACAGATTTACAACTACAGAGGAATTTTGCCTCAGGATGAATACTACCTCCAGTCTCACCCATATATGATTTAGATGGTGTTTAGCTCAGACTTTGGACTTTAAATTTTACAGTTGATGTTGGAATGAGTTAAGGCTTTTGAGGCTGTTGGGATAGAATGAATGTATTTTGTATACAATAAGGAAATGAATTTTGGGTACCAGGGGCAGAATGCTATGGACGTATATCCCCCCCACCAATTCTTATGTTGAAGCCCTAACCTTCAATGTATTTGGGGATAGGGCCTTTGGGAGGTAATTAGGTCATGGGAATGGAGCTTTCATAATGGGTGTAGTGCCCTTAGAAGAAAAGACACAAGAGAGATCCCTCTTTCTCTCTGCCACGTGAGGACACAGTAAGACAACCATCTGAAAAGTAGGAAGAGAGCTCTCACCAGGAACTGAATATGGCACCTTGATCTTGGCCTTCCAACTTTCAGAACTGTTAAGAAATTACATCTGTTTTTCAAGCCACCAGGTCTATGGCATTTTGTTATAGCCGTCCAAGCTGATGAAGACATAGAGAATATATATAAGATGGTCTAATATACATATATCCAGGGTTCTAGAAGTAGAGACAGGAGAGAATGAGTAGAAGTAACATTTGAAAAAGATAATATTATGTTCTGGATGAGATGAAGAATGTGTATTATCAGTTAGTGAAGCAAAATAGATTACATGGAGGATAAATTTTTTTAAACTGAAACTAATCACGTGTCAAGAAACTGGAGAACACAAAAGAAAATCTTAAAAAAAACAATTAGCAAAGAAACTGATCACCCACCATGAAACAGTGTACTGATGGCATAATTTGAAAAAACAGTAACAAAAGCCATATTCGATGGAATAAATATTCAAAGTTCTGAAAGGAAAAACTTTTCCTCTGGAACTGATTACCCTGTCACATTATAATTTATAAAAGTTCACCAACAAGGGAACTGATAAATTATTTTTAATGTATGCATACAATGCAAAATTATAAATAATTTAAAAATTAAAGAACATCTAATATATCAATTTTTCTTAAAGTAAGAATGTTAAAAGAAGCCAAAGGCAATATGATTTACATGACACCATATATAACCAAAAATATTATTATTATACATAATTTTGATTATCTACAGCTGTGCTGAAAGCATAAACATTTTTATAAGATGGATATATACCAAGTTCTTGATGGTGGCTATCTTTCTCATTGTTGGTGAGAGTGTAAAATGGGACAATACTTATGGAAAACAATATGATGTTTCCTCAAAAAATTAAAAATATAACTACCATGTGATCCAGCAGTCCCACTTCTGGATTTGTATTCAAAAGAATTCAAAGCAGGATCTCAAACAGATATTTCCACACCCACATTCATCATAACATTATCCAAAATACCCAAGATGTAAAGAAACCCAAATGTCCATCAACAGATGAATGGATAATGGGGTCTATAAATACAGTGAAATATGTCCTTCCTTGAAATAAAAGGAAACCATGTCTCATGCTACAACATGGATAAACCTCTAAGACATTATGCTAAGTGAACTAATCCACTCATAAAAGGACATGTCATAGCCACTCACATGAAGTATCTAGAGTAGTTAAAATCATAGAAACATACAAAGGTGATTGTCAAGATCTCAGGGAGGAGGAGGGAGAATTAGGGAGTCTCTGCTGTCCCAACCCCGCCTAGGTCCTGGGGAAGGAATCAGAACTCAGAAGCAGGAGAAGAGGCTTTGGCTAGCAGGGAAGCGGGGGTGAGGCCCCGGGCGGGTTCACAAAGGATCAGAGCATCTGAGTGCATTAGGAGGAAGGAGCTTCAGAGGTGGGCCAGCACAGGCCATGACGGGGGCTGAGCAGACTGGGGGGGGGGGCAGTTCGGGGAGACAGCAGGGGTCTGCTCCCTGTCCCTCATTGTTTGCTTGTCTCACCCTTATGAGCGGGTCATTTCCCCTGCTCTGATGATTCGAAGTCTCTGCCGGCACCCACAGGACGATGACTGAGGCCTTCACACTCCTCTGCACGGATCCCAGCTCCTACCCAGATCTGGGGCCACAGACACCTCTCCCCCAACCCTGTCTGCCCCTGTGAGCAAGCTGTTCTTGTGAAATGCGGTCATAGTTTGTTAGGAGGAACTGTTTTATATGGGAATACAAATCAGTGTTGATGCCAATACACACACATGTCCAGCCATGGGTGGAAAGGGAAGGGACAGTAGTTCTGGGGTGTCTCTGCACACCCATAGGCCCCTGAGGCCAGTCTCCACAGCCACAGCCAGATGGGTCCTCCTCCCTCAGTTGAATGAGATGCTGCTGCACAGAAATCCCACAAGTTCCACAAAGGGGCCCAACTGTCATTACCCTTATACACACGTTTCACGGGTGCTCCATGAATTTCCCCGCACCCATTCCCCTTGTTGCATCCTCATTGGGATTAAGAGGTAGCTGTGTCCACCACTCTCCACATTGCAATAATCCCAGTGGGACTAGAGGATGCTCCCGCTACGACGAGGCAGACAGTCCTGTCCCCATGGCCAAGACTTTTCCTCTCTGGTCACTCCACCCACACAGGAAACCCTGGATGAGCAGAGGGTCATCCCAGCGCCGTCGCCTGGCCACTTCAGGGAAGCAGAGAGAAGCTCCATAATGACAAGGGCTGTCTCCAGGCTCCATCCTAGAAACTGGTGAGTGTCCAGAGGGCTGAAAGGCACAAAAGCAGCTCTGTCTCCCCAGAAGGTTCTGGGATGCAGAAGATGGTACAGATGCCCCAGAAGGCTCCTAGCCAAGCAGGCTTTAGAGAAGGGGATGATGAGGGGGTCCCTGGGGAAAGTGAGAGCTGTGGGTTCCCAGGGCCAGCCTGAGGAGTCCTTGTCTATGTGGAGGAAAGGTTTGGCCACCTGTAGATCCAGAGCTCCTGTGACCGCCCTCATCCTTCCTTCCTCTCTGGATCAGCTCCCCTCTGTGGAGCAGCTCAACATGAACAAGATGACAGTGGCCTGAGAGCATTTCCCACCAAAACTGTCTTTATTCACAATTTATATACATCACTCCAAAGGTCCTGCTCCCACCCACACCTGGCCACACCCACCTCTCCCACCTCCCTAACCTCCCACAATCCCGCTCCCTCCCCCCACCCTGGTGGTCCTGCCCTCCCTCCCTTCCCCCCACATCATCTAGGATCAGCACTGGGATGACAGGGAGCCCCTAGGCTCCCCTGGGAGCCGCCCTGGAGGGCCGGCCCAGCTGTTCCCTACTGGCTGCAGTGCTGCTTCTCCTCTTCCTACTCTTCTCTGTGACACACGGGTCACGCTTTCTCTTTCTTGGCTGTGAGGGGAGAGCCGGCCCCAGAGCCAAGGCTGGCCTCCCAGACACCCGGAGGCCAGCCCCGGGGATGGGCAGCTTCTCAGCAGTGGCTGGGTGTCCAAACAGAGCCTGCTTCCTTGACTTGGGAGCGGCTGGTGGAGCTGGGCTGAGGCCTCTTCTCTGAGGGGAGGGGGCATGGGGAGCACTCTGGGCCCCCCAACCTCCAGGGGAGGCCAGGCCTGAGGCATGGGCAGGACTCTGGGACACCCAGCAGAGAGCCGAAGAGGAAGGCCAGGCTGGGGAGCTCCTCCTCGTCCTCACCGGACCCGTCCCTGGGCCCTCGGGCCTCCCGAACAGGAGAGGCCTCTCTGAGCATAGACGCATCCCTGGGTCCCCGTAGAGGGCCAGCGTGCCTTTGACCCTGGGGAGGGGATGGAGAGACCTCCTGACGTCCTCGAGAGGAAACAAAGTCTTTGGGCCTGCACAGGCCAGTGTCTCTTTGGATGAGCCTATGAGGAGCCTCAGAATCAATCTCTGGTGGGCAGGCTTCATCACTGACCCCTAGATGGGGGTCTTGGTCGTGCCTCTGGGCACCTTGGCCAGTGTCGGACTCAGAAGGACTTGAGCCCATTCCGGGTGCACTGTGACTCGGGGCTGCCCGCACACCCTCATCCTCTTTCAAGGCCAGGAGTTGTTTCTGCATCAGCTGGTAGGAGGGAGGAGGACAGTGACGGACAGTGACTCCAGGACTCGAATCCAAATACAGACACTGTGTCATTCCTGCCATCCTCCTGCAACTTATTCCCAGCTTTGTGCCCTTCCCTCCCCTCCCGGCTCCCCATCCCCTCCTTCCTTTCACCCTGCACTGCACCCACCCCAGAACAGGCACTTCCCCATGCCAGACCTCCCAGGCAGGGGAGGGATGGACAGCACCAGGTGACCCTCCTGTTCTGGGGCCCTACCTCTCCCCTGTTCACTGGGGTCCCTCCGTGCCCTGGTCTTCCTGGGTGTCCCTTGTGTCCCCTGTTCTACCGGGGATCCCTCCCTCCTCTGGCCCCCCTGGGACATCTGGGTTCCCCTGTCCCCTGGATCACCTGGGGTCCCCCTCCTGTGGGGTCCCCTGGCTCCCTGAGTGTCCCTCTCCCTCCTCTGGCTCACTTCTTCGGGAGTGAGCCCTTCCTCCTGCTCCAGCTCCTCCACTAGGTCCAAGAGATCCAGCTGTGGGTCTGGGGAAAGCAATTCTGCCAGGAATCGAGGGTGAATGACTGCCTCCACCTCGGACAGAAAGAAGAGGCTGTGAGCATCCTTGGCCAGGAGTGGCCTGTGAGACAAGAAGACCCAGAGGGAAAGTGAAAAGCAGAGACCCACCCCACTCTCCTCCACAAGGCGGGGATGGTCAGCACACACACAAACACACACACACGCACATACACACACAAACATGCACATACACAGTCACACACAAAAGAGCACATATACAGAGGCACATACACAGACACACAAAGGCATACACACAAAGAGACACAAACATGTACACACATACATCTGCGTAAACCTCCCCTAACACCTGGTTCAGGAACAAGGAGCTGAGCTTAAGTCCCAACGGCCTGAGCAGAGCCCAGATCTTGGGTGCTGAGTGTTCCATGCCCTGGCATCTTGTAGACCCCAGGCTCCATGCCTATCCTACCTTGGTGACAAAGTCCTCCTGGGAACACAGCTTGTCAATGTAGCTCAAGAGGCCCGGGTCCGAGTAGGTGCCGTCCTCTTCCTGCTTCAGCTCATTTCCGTCCTCTCCACCTTCTGCATCTGACTCGCCTGTGGCTGAGTGGACGGGCCCCACCAGCGCCTCTGTGATGTCCATATACTCCCTCACAGCCTCAGGGGGAATCTCCTTGGGTGCCTTGGGCTCTGGGGGCCACTGGGACCTGTGTGGCTTTGGGCGGGAGGGCTGGGCCCTCCAGCGTCCTGGGCCCTGGGGCTGGACATCCTGGGAACACAGGCTGAGACAGAGCAGGAGGAAGGGAAGGAAGGTGAGGGACTCCCGGTCCACCTCCTGACCACCAAGCGCACGTTGGTGAGGGCATTGTTTGGGGGACATTGATGTGGGTGTGGGGGGGGTCAGGACCACCTGAAGCCTCATGCACTGTTGGAGAGGGGAGGTAAGGGGGCATCTAAGAGAGTCACAAGTAAGGAAGTGGGGAACCTCCAATTTTCTAGGGATCTGCCCATCAAGCCCACTTCCTAGGCAGACTTTTTGTGGGCTCCTTTGACAGGGAGGTGTGAGAGGAGTTACAAAACTGACCAAGTCAATACCCCATAGTGACAAAGGGCAGCTGAGACCCCATGCCCCCACCTCCCGCCTCGGTGGCTGTTTTGGTTGAAAGACCGATGCCCCTGTCTTGAAGGAAAAGGATCCACGTGGGGACAGTAGCCAACCCTAGGCCCCTGTTACCTGTGCATTCAACTCCAGTGGGAACCTGGGTGCCTGGCTGAAGGCCCACTTTCGGGGCTGGGGGGCCCCGAGGATCCAGCTTCGGTGGGGCTGGAGGAGGCAGGTCCTGCGCACACTGCATCCACTACAACTTCTGAATCTGCATCTCCTCCTTGGCCTCAAATTCCATGAACCTGGGGGGTGACGGAGGCATAGGCCACCCTGAGGAAAAGGCCTGGGTTCTGGAGCCCAACAAAGGCAGCCAAGAATGAGGGATTGGGAGAGGATGTGCCTTGAGGCTGTCAAGGCCCTGTGAGGTGCTGTCCACAGCAGAGAGCTGCTCCTGGAACTGATACAAGATCTGGGACCCTTCCTGCCTCACCAGCACTGGAGGCCATTCAACAGCATAGACCCAGGTCGCTTAATTGAACCAGGTCAATGGGACACGTGGCTGACCCAGGGGGCACCCTCCTCATGCCCCCCGACCCCATCCAGAACCACATGAAGGGCTGACAGCCAGAGGCTGGGACAGGCATGTGTTCCCTACAGGGGTCCTTGCCCGAATCCAGAACCCTGGGCTGGGACTGAGAGTCCTGGAACATAGACCTGGAGACAGGGCCCAGGAGAGGCTGGGCAACGTGGATGCTGAGCTCAGAGGAGAGGCCTTCCTTTCCTCTGAGAGGCGCTCGTTTGTTTGGTTTTGTTTCTTAAACCAAGGGGATTACCATGGAGCAAACACTGGAAGGGCCGTTGACCCTTGGGTTGATGACAGCTGGCTTTCCCAGCCTCTTCAGGGATGCCAGGGTACCCACTCAGGCCACTTTTCATGAGGAGAGGGGGTCCCAAATCTATGTCAGTGGCCGCCAGCCACCCACCACTAAAGAAGCAGCAGGCTGGCGGGTGGAGCTCTTTCCCCGGCCCAGCCCATATGGCCGGAGTTGGACCCCTACTGGACTCACAGCTTCACCCTGCGCCGTCCTGAGACCTTCATGTCAAGGCAAGGGTAGGTCAAAATCAAGGGAGGGCAGAGCTCCTGGTGGAGGAAGGACAGAAGACCCAAACTCTCAAGGTGAGGGAGGGGTTTCTGGAGGACAGTAGGGCCTCTGGGCTGCGGGGCCCCTGTTCTGGGTGACAGCCCTCCTCCTTTGTCCTCTCTGATGAGCACCCCCATGGCCAGACCCTGCCCTTACCCACTCGCCTCACCCTCCATGCAGCCCCTGGGCCCAGGACGTTGACTCACTTTTCCGCCATCTCGTAGTAGATCATCCGGTCAAAGTTGCTTCTGCACTGCCATTCCTGTACAGCCCTGCACAGTGCCTCCTCCAGCGTCATGGTGGGCTTCAAGCGGGCCAGGGATCAAAGCACTGGGCTGTAAGCCCTCGGGGTCAGTCTCCGTGCCCAGCCCAGCCCCCACCTGCCTGACCCCACTGGCCAATGTGGACCACACATCACTCAACGCAGCATGACTGAGCAACAGGAGGGTGAGAGGCAGGTATCTGCGAGGGCAAAGACAAGCCTTCCCGGCTACTGCTGTCACCGCCTCACACTCACTCGAGGATGACCATCCACTCCCAGGCTACAGCTGGGACACTGTGCCTTGGGGAGCTCTTTTCCTCTTCAAGGTTGCCTTTTCATAATAAAAATCACTATCATCAATAAGGTGTGGCATGTGCCAGGCCATCTATGAAGCTAACACTTCATAGATTAGCCCAAGGAGTTTTCTGCCCAGTCCTCTGAGTGAAGTGTGATTGTCCCCTTTTTATGAGGGACCAGAGGTTTAGGATGGAAATGCCTGCCAGGCTCACAACTCTAGTGGGAGAGAGCCCACACCCTTAGGAGAGCTCTACCATCACCCTGTTCCTAGTGGAATTCTCCACAACAATGAAGTCGAGGCGTGCATTAAGCGCTCTCCTGGGCCCCGCACTCCTCCCCCTCCTCCGAAGTGACCTCCCCTGGCCATGTACATCAAGTCCTGTACGAAAGGAGATCGCACCACGGGAGAGTGCGGCATTCACTCCTTGGCTCCTCACCTTACACCACGACCCTCTCTGACTGCAAGTCTTCAGTCCATATTACCATGAGAATCATGGAAGAGCAAGTTGGCTAGACTCTCAGAGTGGTGGGGTCAGTTGAGATGAGGCACATTTCAGTCATGATGTCATGGACCGGCAGGCTCACCCATATGACCGACAATGTGCCTTCTCATAGCATGGACATCGCCCTCAGACCTTGCTTCCAGTATCCCTAGAAATCTAACCTGCGAGTCCATCCCCAGGTCCTCTTTATCTAAAAGCTCCGATAAGCTCATGACCCCCTGAGCGTTCACTCACATGAGAAAGCAGGAAAGAGCTTCTGCATCAGGACTCTGGGGAAGGTGTCTCCAGGCCAGTGGTTTGAGGCGCTGCCAACCTCGGAAGTTACTGTACACGCTCTGGGGGTTAGAGCAGTCACCGTGTGAGGCGTAGGACTGGTTGGTGGCCAGGCTGCCCTGCCTGGAAGTGCCATGTGGCCAAGGCCCATAGTTCACTGGGCGAATGATAGGGGCCAGCTGGGCAGCTAGTGGTGGAGCTTGAGGAGGAAAGCCTGGGGTCCAGCCTCCCTTGCCAGCCTGAGTAACTCCAACAGCTGGAGCAGTCACAATGGTCTCCATCACAGGGGTTGCTAAGAATACGGATGCAGGACATGCAGCACTCCCGCTGAGGGCCCCTGGAGTACTCCAGGTGAGGGGGCCTTGAGTAACGATAAAGGTCTGAGTCTGGGGGGCCTCCACTGGACTCCCTTGTGACCTGACTTGGACAGTGAGGTTGCAAGCCCCAGGGGCACTGGGTCCACGGCCACCATTAGCCACCAAAGGCATCGTGGGGAATCAACCTGTCATCCTTGCTGCCATCCTTTCTCCATAGCCAGGGCAATTCCTCTTGATCCACCTCCAATGACCCCTCCTCCCCAGTGCAGTCTCAGGTTTCTTCAGGCTCCCTAGTCTCCCCAGCTGAAATGTGCTTGTGTTCAGTGCTCTCTTCTCCCTCTACTTCAGTCCAACTATGTGCCCACAGTGAAGTGTCACATGTGAACCCGAAGGATGTGAGAGATGGCAGGGTCTCTGAAAACACACCCCCAACCTATAGGCTTACCTTCTTCTGAAGCCATCATGCAGGCTTGGGCACGGACTACTGCTGCCTGGTAGCCTCAATGAGAAAAGTCAAGACCAGGACCCAGAGAGTGACCTGCTTCAGCAGTTGCTCAGGATCCAAGTAAAGGAGGGACAAGTTTGAATCTAAATAGTAGAATGTGGGCTGAAACTTTCTGCAGTGGGGGAGGGGCAGAGGGCACATGGGTCTTGGTGGGGTGGGGTGGGGGGACATTTCACGAGGGCTCTGGCAGGTAGGCAAGAACCAGAAGTTCCTTCCACCTCACACAGTGGCAACACAATTGGCGTGTGCCTCTTTAGGCAGTTTATAAACTGTTTTTTTGATTCATGGCACCGAGGTTGGACATGACGGTCCCTTCCTTTCACGTCTTTATCCATCAACCTAGTTTTGTGTCCCTCAACACATTCTGCTTCCTACCAGGCTCTTGACTTACTTCAACAGAGACTAGACTTTCTGAACAAAATACCCAAGTGTTAGTCTGATAAACACTTGGGTATTTATGGCCACATGGAACTGAGTATTTGAAATTAGGATTGTCTCAGCAGATCCAGTGTCTTTGACTGCTGTATATACATCACTCCTAAGGAAGTGGTCCTTGTGCTCCAACCAACCTCCAGCAGGACCAGCCTTACTAATGATCCTTTGTGTTGGAAAGCCCCCGTCCATCAAAAAACTGTCATGCAGCCCCCATGTCCAAGAACAGAATTCACTAAATGTCTTTCTCATAGTATTCCATGGTTGTTAAAGATTTAGTTTTTTTACCTTTTAAATGATTTTAGTATAATATTTTAAGCAAGTAACACCTTCTCATGGTTCAAAATTAAATTGTGCAAAATGGAATATGCAGTGGCAAGTCCTCCTCCCACCTCTTTCCCCTGTCAACCCAATCCTCTTTCCCAGAGGAAACCAGTGTTATCTGTTTCATTAAAATCTTTCCAGAGATATGCCATGCAACTAAAAATGAAGGCAATCTATTTTCATTTTTAAAAATGCCTTCATTGTTTTTTCTAGTTGAAAATTCATATATGTTCCAATATATCTGAGGATATTTCCAATGATTGTCTTTGTACGGGTATCGTGGCTCCTCTGTTTCTGCACTAGATTCCTGGAACAAGAATTTCTACAGTCCCTTAAATTTCAAAGTACCTGAAAGAATAGGGTGGCTCGATCTAGCAAAGAAAAATAACAAATGCCTAACTGAATTTGGTTTTTGAACTTCACGTAAACAATGAATTTGTTTTTAGTATAACTGTGTCCCACGCAATATTTTGGACATACTTTTACTGCAAATTCTTTTCCTGTTTATCTGAAATTTACATTGAACTTGAAATCTGTATTTTATCTGGCAACACTACCAAAAAAGTATAACATACCAAGCTATTATTAGTTACTCATCCTTATGAGAAAGAGAACTTGGAGTAAAGAGACTCAAGTGTGCATCCTGGCTCCAACACAAAACACAATTGTAAACATACACAAAATCTGCAGGCTCTTCAGATGAAATGGATTTGGAAGAGCCATCATATAGCATTGAACGTCTTGGCTTAGTAGGGGTAAGGACAGAAGTAAGGAACAAGAAGGCGGAAAATCTTCTCTTTCCTTATGTTAAAGGGACTAAACATCCTAGAGCCCTGGTTTTTCTAGGTGTTAAAAATCCACTACCCATGAAATGGATGTGCACCTTGAGACAATGCCAAGAGTTCATCTACCAATTTCCAATCCCCATTCATACAAACTCACTTCCAACTAAATCCTAGCCTGCAAGCCCTGCTTACAAGTTTGTTAATTTCCTGTCTGCATTACATACCCTTGCTCTTTAGAATCTAGGCCTCATCATTGCATATGGTCCCATCTGCGTGGGAATCATGGTAGCATTCCTTTTAAAAAACTTGTTTGATTATTTTTTTCAAATTGAGAATCCATGTCAGTCAGTTTACCACTATCAAAATATGAAAAAGTATTTGTGTTTTGTGTTGTGAGAAGAGAGGCCTGTTAGGAAACTTGTCAAGGGAGATGAAGGGTGAAAACCTCAGAGGATTGCAACCCAATATCTTGGGAGATGAGATTCACTGACTGCTGTAGCAGCAGTAGAACTCCTACTGATTGTGGGGTGTTGGGGAGGGAAACAGAGGTTTAGAAGGACTGTTCCACAGTGTGAAAAAGACTCCTGTTGGTGCTTAAGAAGTTCCTTGCCCCTTGTCAGGAGAAATTGACTCAGAAGAAGATGAGAAGATAAGGTGAGAATATTTCAAGCAACATTATGGTGAACTTTATATCTAAAGAAACTCCTGTTGGGGACTGAAAAAAATAAACAATTTGGGAATAACACTCAGTACTGGAGCTTTTATAATGAAGGAAAACTTAAATGATTTTCAACCAATAACTTCATACTAGAGGGATGGTGAGGCAAAATATTGTACCCAGGCACTCGAGGAAGGCAGGCTTCCTTGTTGCTTCCTCCCCTTGTTCAGTCATTGAACCAATTATTTACAAGATTCTCACTCATAATTCTGATACAGTATTTGAAGGAGTCTTCTCAAGGCCACTGATACAAAAATTGCACTGTGCAAAAATTAGCCAGTTCCAATTCTGCAATCACTTTTGTAATACTTCAAAATCCTACATCCCAGAGACAGAGATAATCAAATTAGCCCAAATGTAATTTGGGAAGACCAGTCACAGAAGGGAGTATCTAAAATTCCTTTGGATCATGATCTCTGACTATTCCTGCACAGAGGTTGGGGGCAGGCATTGACTACTGAGAAAAAACATCTCTGGACACGCATCACAAGCCTCAGAAGACAGTTCATTTCCACTCAATCACGAAACATTAAAGAAACGAAGAGATACCATGTTTGTGTCTTTTCAAGTCTGTGCACTTGGAGGCGCATAGTGCTATTAGGTGTGAGGGGTCTTCAGAGGCATCCTGTTGAGTGAGAAATGCTCTAATCTTGAAATTGACCAGAGAGAGGATCTGATGATTGAAGTTTCTTTGGGAAGTATTAAAAAATCAGGTAAGTTGATCCCGCTACTATTTTTGTTGTTGTTGTTGTTTTTATTGCCAACTGAAATTCTGCAAGATATTACAAAAAAGGAGGGAGGGAAAGTAAAATTGTTCCCATATTACCTGCTGTGTTGAAATTGGCCCAGATTGTCAACTCTTTCTCAAAGTTATTAAAATAAAGACAAAACCGTACAAAGGAAACACCTGTGAATCAACATTTATTGAAAAACCTCCATGTATTTAATACACTAAGAAAAAAAATTCTATTACTGTAAATGCGTTTGGAAAAAACTCTAGGAACGGAGTCAGGAGACAGTATCTTAAGAGTGTTTCCCAGGTCTGAAATTCTTTCCTAGAATTGTTCTTTAATGGAAACTTCAGGCTTGCTAGGAAAAAGGACCTACTGTTTTCTGAAAGGCATAAACAAGAACCAAGGAACTGATGTCCAAAGGGCATGAAAGCACTTGCCCCAACTTGAGGCTACTGTGCTTAGAGAGGAGCTCTCCAGAACTCTTTGTATCTAAGTGCATGGGTTTCACGTGTGCAATATAAAAATCACGAGTGCACATCTCACAAGAGCTGGTTTTAAGAAGAGAGCGTCACGAAGGTTCCCGGCGAGGAGCGTCGCCTGAGAAGTTCCGCAGCGTGCCCGACCCTTCACTTCTCTCCTCTCCTGCAGAGACCTTCTGGAACAGATGCCCGCGCGCCCCGCGCCTGCACGCCTGCGCACGCCCACTGGGGCGGGGCTCTCGGGCACGTGGACCGCCGTCCTCCAACTGCTCCCGGCGTCTGTTGGGGCAGTTTGCTCCGGAAGACAGGAGCGCATGCGCGAGCACGGGGGGCGGGGCCCCAACGGCCGTCGGGGGGGCGGGGTGTCTCATGGCGGCCTCTAGAGTCAATTATAGGAATCCTGTGGTAAGGGGTACGGGGACTTTTCACCCCTCAGGTGTCACCGCTATGCGCTGTTGTTCACCCTGTGGGTTATTTGTGCCCTTGTCCATGTAAGGAGACTCCCCCCACACCCCCATAGAGCTCGATTCCCTTGAGGTGTTTACCCCAGGGTTACTGGCACCACTGGGGAGCCGGCTGCATGAAGGGTTCAGTGATTGCGGGACCTACAGTGCGGGATAAATACTGTGTGCGAGCTATTAAACAGGTGCAGTTCTAGTCTGCGCGTTCTGAAGAGTACAAAAGCTAGAGGGAAGTTCTTGCGAGTTGAAAACCCTCATCTGGTTCCAAAGGTGTAGCTCAGGTCACTGGAATATGAGTGAAGAACTAGCGAACATCCTCATAGCTTTACTAGTAACTTTTTTTTTTTTTTTTCGGTATGCGGGCCTCTCACTGCTGTGGCCTCTCCCGTTGCGGAGCACAGGCTCTGGACGAGCAGGCTCAGCGGCCATGGCTCACGGGCCTAGCCGCTCCGCGGCATGTGGGATCTTCCCGGACCAGGGCACGAACCCGTGTCCCCTGCGTCGGCAGGCGGACTCTCAACCACTGCGCCACCAGGGAAGCCCACTAGTAACTTTTTAACATAAAAATATCAATCAACACTTATGTTCAAACTGTACTCTTTTGTCAATGAGAGGAGTAAATTTGCTGAATCTAACAATAAGCATTTATTCGTAGTCTGATACTCTCAAATCATGACGGAATTGCAAGCATAGGTTGGCTGGTGATGCAAGAGTTCAGCAAAAATCAACGAAAGCATTAGGTAAGAATCAATTCGGTATATAGAATTTACAGTGAAGAGTAGTGTACATTTTATCTTATTTGTAAATTATGTGCACACATCTATTATATCATTAAAATTAATTATATGGTATATATCTCCACACTTCTTTAGGGAGTGCTGATTCAGGTTATTAAGGCTTTGCTTCATAACACACCACAGCAGGTGCGTATGGGGCTTAAGGTAGTTTATGTTTGTATTCTGGGGTCGTGAAAGTACTGTGTGGGTGTGTTTGTAGTGTGAATTATATATATGTGCGTTTGTGGCTTGTTGGAGTTCAGTGTCTGTATTTAAGGATATTAAGAAGTTACATCCTTGTTTTTGGCAGTTGGGGAGTTGTGGGTGTTTATGTGTATCTGGAAGTGCCATGTTGTATATGTGTATTTGTAGATCTTCCAGGGATTGTAGGACCTCATGGGCAGTGGGTGGTTTTATGTATATCATTATTTGGGAGCCTATTGGGAATGTGTTTCCATGAATTCCTGGCGTAAGGTTTATTTGTGTATTTATGGAGTTGGTGAGAATCTGAGTAGTGTATTTGTATTTGTGGGTTGGTGATGTCTGTGTGGATATTTGGGGTTAAGTGGAAGACATGAGTGTGTTGTTGTGAGAGTGGATGTATTTGAGTTTATGTAGAGGGTTTGAGATGTAATTCAGATGTACTCTAGTTGTTCGGATTATGTATTTGTAGTGTAAGACTTTGGGAATGTGCGTTTATGTGTGTGTTTTCTCCCAGCATGTTATAAATGCGTGTCTGATGGTGGGTTTTGAAGGGTTAGCTGCATGTACATAGTGGAAAAGTTGGAAAAAGTACTTGTGTTTATTATTTTTGGTGTAGGGTTGTGTGTTTTGCTTATTTTTGAAACGTAGAGGGATCATTTGTATCTATTCAGGGCATGCTGTATTATGTGCGTTTCTTTTGGTGGTTTTCAGGAATTGTGTGTTTTGGGGTGTGTGAGGGAAGGTGTATGACTGTTTTATGGGACTGGTGGTATAATGTATATGTGCATATGAATGTGTTGTGTGGTGTGGGG